GTGGTGCGAACCCTCGCTTAGCAAAGTGGAGGAACTATGCTCGACTGAAAGAGGCGTCCACCGCGGAAGACGGGGGGATCCTTGTATGGGAAAACGGGGATCGAAGGGAGCACGTCTCGAGTTCTCGAGTCATCGGGAACGACGTCGAGAAAGAGAGACAAAGGGAGAATCGATGGGAGGTGGGAAATCTTCTCGTGCGAGAAGTGTGTCGAGAGCGCGCAACACGGAGACGGTAGGAATATACACGAGGAAGGATTCAACAACCGTTTAATTAAGACACCTCCTCGCGAGATGTATTACGCAGCAATTATGAGACACCGCAATATTTAGGGCGGTAAATTGCGCTCGGTGGGGAATATTCTTGCAAGATTGAGAGTATAATTATAACGTTGGAAGCTGTAGTGACGAGAGTCGTCTGACCTTGGAAAACGTCGCGATTTTCGATCTCCCAATTAAGCCAGTTCCCGTTACACGAAGCGTCACGGGCTTGTCGCGGACTCCTTCGCGAAACGGCACGGACGCTGCCATCTACGATGTCACCGCGACAACTAGATTACGAGACTCTAATCAAGCGGGACAATCGGCCAGGCAGCCCGAAGAACGCTATTATAACCGGCACACGCCAGCCTTGTTAAATCGCCGCTCGTTAATCACGAAAGGCAGTTCATTATTCGCGACTTCGGCGGAGGAGGAGGGGCCGCGCACGGACGAATCCGGCGATCGAAAACGTGGACTCTCGCGCAAGAACTCGGCATCAACTCCTCGGGAACTCGGTCAGAGGTCCCTGATCATCAGTCAGTACACCAGGCACTCACGCACTCGCCATTGTCCCCACGACAGATTGCGTTTCGTGCGGTCCTTGATTAATCAAATCCAGACCGGACACGTATAGGAAGAGAGAGAGAGAGAGAGAGAGGGGGAGTGGACCGAACAAGATGGCGGAGGAGTTTGTCTTTCCCGTTGGAGATCCCACACACTCGGAGTGCTCTCTGGAAGAGACGTTGATAACCGAACGATCGTTTCGCAGGAAGATTAATTTCCCCGGGCCTCCGAGCGTGTCATTAAGGTGGAGCGTGCAGCGGCAAGGCGGGGAGGGGGAGGGGGGAAGGCGAAAGGGGAAAGGAAGAGGGAGGTAGTCGTAACTTAACGATCGCCGCGGGACATGTTTTCAAGGTATCGGGTCTCTTTTCATCGTACCGTAGGACTGATCAACCTGGCCGCGAACACGGCCGGCAGCACAATTCCGCCGGCGAATTCGGTGGCTCGTCAAAAGCTCGCCGCTCTGACCTACATTTCGTGTATTCAGCGCGAGCGGTAAACCCTCGCCCCTTCTCTGTCCTTGGTTCGTTTAATAAGATCCGTGCCAACTTCTCTCGCGAGTGTCACTCGCGGATATCCTCCGTATTGACGTCGTCGTTTACAGCCGTCGTGAAAGTCCCGCGCACGTCGAGTTAAGTAAATTTGTACTCAAACGCTTTCATCCGTAGCGACGAGGACGAGAAGCAGGGGGACGGATAAAATTCCGCGAGCCACCATGGAGCGCGGTGGCGCTTTCGCGTAAATTAAATTAGCTTAAAAAACGAAGCGAAGATTTTACGGTTACACGGAATCTCGAGTAAACGCGTGTCTGTGCGACGTAGAAATAAACTTCTTCGTAAAAGAGACGTGTGTGTGTGTGTGTGTGTACGCGCGCGTATTGGAACAACATTGAATAATATCTGAATTTATCACAGCGCGAGAATTACACATCACGCGGCTGTTTTTGCTTAAAAACAGCCGATCCGATCGGCGCAACCGAGCGGCTACGGTATTGACGAGAAACCGGCGGTGACGTTTAATCAAGAGGGCTCTCCGCCTTTGCACAGAGCCGCTCTCCGGGCACGTTCAATTTCTTTCCGGGCAATTAACAATTAATTTCTCCGCGTCGATTATACGGCGAATGACGTGGCGGCGTCTACGGCCGCTGAGCACAGCAGTTACGTCTGATCTCGCCGACTCCGTAACGTCCGTTACCGGGGATAATGCGGGTGGAAGCGTTGGAAGCGGCAGAGAGATTGCCGGTAATTATAGTATATTTTACACGGCATCAAACGTAAACAGGGAGCTTTCCGATGAGATTTAATAATAAGAGATTCCCCCCCCCTCTCTCTCTCTCTCTCTCTCTCTCTGCACTCTCTGCAGACGCGGAATACGTCGTTAATGCAGCGATTATTAATACAATGGTTTCGACGGCGAAGGTGAGCGATTCGCCGCGATTTATGCGAAACCCGAGTAAATATATCCGTCGATAATAGCGCGCGCGCCTCGCCCGCGCGAAGATAACGACATAATGGAAATGGCGATAATTTGAACGAGCCATCGACGAAAGATGAGCGTTCGTAAATAATACCCTCGGCGAGGAGCGGGAGGGGAAGGGAGGGGGGGAGGGAGATAACCGATGTACAGTCGGAAAACGGTGAGACAGATTTCCGCGCGTTTTAATACGCTTTCGATGCCCGATGGAGAACAACAACGTGCACGGAGAGCTCTGTTTCGCGCAAAAATAAATTGCGGTAAACAGCAGTAAATCTCGGTCGTGCGCGTGCGATTGTCCTCGGCGAGGCCGCGGTGTTGGTGGCGACGGTGGTACGTTACATTTGCATTTGAAAGCGCGGATTTCGCGATCATATCCGCCGACCGTATGACGCACGGTGCCGTTTATCTTTGGCGATTCTCCGCGTTTTTCTCTCTTTCCCTCTTTCTTCCCGCCCACCTTCTTTTATTTCCCATACTGAGTCTGAATGTTCCTGAAATTATCTCGCGATGACGTCGAGTCTCTTTATCGAAATTTATCCCCCATCGTGATTCGCGCTGCGTCGCGCCGCAGAGCAAGGTGCAATTCTCGCGGCGGAGGATGGTGAAATTCCCAGAGTGATTTTTCGCGGGGAAATCCGACTTCATTGAATCAGCGTGATTCTCATGCGCAACAAAACAGTCCATCGATATCAACGCGGGAGAAAGTGAATCGTCGATGCATCGACGCGAAGAATATCTTCGACGAAGCATTCTGCGAGGGGAATGCCTTCAATTAGCGGTAACGGGAAAACTACGGTCGGCTGATCAAAGGTTGGCAACGCTTGTTCCCGATCAGTTTTGTATCCGCGTTTCGTATCCGATGAGAGAAATTGTATTCTAGTCATTCTTGAGGAATCAGTCTTCCTCTCGGATGCGGAACGCGTTGCAAAACTTATCGACGAAAAGTGCCGCGACTCGTAATTAGCCGACTGCTTCTCCGGCTCTTTGCAAATCGCGCTGGAACCCGACTTGCGCCGACGTTCGCCAGCTTGACCGACTGAAGTGACATCTTCAACGAGAAATTTGCTATGTCAATTTAAAATATTGTAATCGCCAATGCAGCTGACAAACAAAGTACCGAATGACTCGACTGTACCGTAACTTCATTCCTGCTGCGCAAGTTCTCATACACTTCCCCTCGCCTGAATTAACAGCTTCGTCCAGGTGAAACCTCCGACTCCGTCACGTCGATGAAACGAAGCGCTCGACATCGGTGCCCGCGGATGCCGCGAACGCGCGCGCCTCACGACTGAATCTTCGACGATTTGCGTCCGTTATTTTCAACACGATCGAAACACGGCGTTGTGCTCATTGTGTGCTTTCGCATTATCCTCGCTCGGCGAACTTTCGTGCGTCGATATTATTAGTGTATAATATCAGCGGTAATATCGTCGGCATTCCCTGAAAACCGCCACGCACGGAAATTTCTGCGCGGCCACCGGGGTCTACCGCGGCGGTAATTGTGGAAATAGGTTTACGAGTTTCCAACTTATCGCGGGGTCGCACGCTCTCAAAGGGGCTGAAATATAATATCTGTAACGAAATGTAGCGGCACGTCCATACACTTAAAACGGAATATCCGAAATCCTTTGAAAGCAGCGTATCTAAAGTCCTTTGACGTCGTTTAGTACCTGAACTTGTACCTCCTTCCCCATCCATGTGTACATGCATACATATATACCTTGCCGTAATAATATGAAACGAAAATCCGCCGTGAAACGCGGAATATCGTTTTATTTCAATTTGATTTCTCATGCAAATATGAAACGTGGCGCTCGAAAAAGTCCATCGCACACAACGCGCAAAACGCGTATAAATTCTATCTTTCATCCTTCACGTCGCGAAAACGCATCGGTAATAATGTTTTTTCCACCGTATCAAAAAATGCAAATTCACATTCGCAGGGACGTGATGGCGATTCGCGAGGCCTACATGTGAAATAATGTGATCTTCTGTTATAGGTACGGAGAAATAGCGGACAGAAGATATGAAAGGATACTACGGAAAATGAATTTCCGTGGAACAAGTGACGACCAGAACGATGCAAAATTGCGACAACTCGCTTATTTTAAATACGCTGATATATATATATATATGACATATTTTGATTTATATCCTAATGAATATTTAAAAATCAAACGAAAGATTTGGTTGAATCAACGTGGCAATCAAACGAATTTGGTCGAAGAACATAGCATATCTGGTTCTTAGGAATCAAATTCGATTATGTACCAAAAGAGCATGGTCGATCTATTGCCAGATCGAGTGCTCTGTCGCCGCGGAGAGACTCGGACGATTGCTCATTTCTCTCGTGTTTTATTATTCGTTTTTTACATCATTGCGCAAATAGGCAATGAGTAATCGTCCATGCACGGCAAACGCAGCTCCATTAGTGTAACAGAATTTTCTGTTGCTCGAGGACCAGACAAAAGCTTGATCGCACGAACCGAAAGATTCCCACAAGAGGGTTCCCTTCAGTCGAGTTGCTCTCAGTTGCACCTCAAGCGAGTTTTGATACAGTTGAATATTTAGACGAATATTCACGGTGAGACACACATGTCATTTCCTTTCGCCAAGTTTTCGTCCAATCCCCATTTTAATAACACAAACTGCAATTTTATTCTCGTGTGCAAACAATTTATCGTCCATACAAATAATTCACTCACCGATCGCTGCCGCTGCTGCTGCGTCGCCAGTGAAAATTCAAGCGCATTATCGCTGTCCGTTGATCGAATACGACCTCCGATCGGCCGACCTCCCGCACGTGTCACTCCCACGTCCACAGCGTTACACAGCGTCACACGAGGCACGTTGACACGAAAGCCCCGCCGCAAGACGACGGGAAACCGCGACGAGCGACGACATCAGCGCATTTTTTAATACGCACCGGACTGCTCGACCTGACGGCAAAAAAGGAAAAGACGAAGGGGTTAGTTCCTATTATCAAGATGGCCGTTGCTTACGCTCGCAAAAGAGTGCCATGTTAAGCACGTAGAGCAAATTAACCCGCGGGCTAATTGGGTTAGCCGGCGCACCGCCTCCAACCAGGTACCTCGTGTCCCCGTCCCTGTCCTCTACCCTCCCCCATCCCTGGTTTCCCCGGATAGCTTGATGGCGGTAAGCGCGATACGTACATTAATTTCTTTGTTAACCGTTTACCCGCCGCTCAATTTCCCCTCTAAAAGCCTCTCGTCGCGGACCGCCGCGCGCGTGTCTGTTACTGGCAGCGGTTATATAATAATAATAATAATAATAATAACGGCGACGCTGACGCGGGAAAAGCGGCGGTGCCACAAGTTAATTACGATCGCCGCCACATAGCGAATTTATCTCTATAAGAATATCAGGTTTTGAAGGGTCGGGCCGCCCGACCCCTTCTCTCTTTTTCTCTCTCTTCTCCCTCCCTCTCTACTGCTTGATCGCTGTTACGAAGGAAATTCATAGCGTGCACGTACCTAAGTCGAAGGCGTCCCACTCTCTGCCGATACGAATTCGACGACCATGTCTCCGTTCCGACGAGTGTTATTCGAGAAATCGCAGCGTCACGCTTTAGTTCGGCTACCGCATGAGCGTCTGGAAAAAGGCACGACCGTGACATAGATGGCTATTCGTAGAAACGCAGCACACGTCCCGCGCAAAAAGACACGAATGGGCGGCTGTTTGGCCACCATTTTGAATTCCGTGCGCGCGCGACGCGCGGGAAAAACTGTGTTCCGGTAGAATGGCGGGAAGAATGTACGCGCTCCCCCCCCCCCCTACGAACATATCGACTCGGTACACATGTTGCGAACAGAAGGCTTCGCAAAAATGACGAACAAGCGTGATTATTCCGCGCTTCCAGGTCGAGAGATCGAAGTCGACTACAACGAGAGAGCCGGCTTCTCTACGTTCCTAACCTCTGTCTCAGCTGCAACGTTTTCTTTCCTCCGCGCGAACATCGCTTTGCATCAGCTCCTTAGCCTCGCATTAATCATCGCGTCGGTCCACCGTGTTTCTTACACGAAGCGACTGAAATGGAATAACGAAATAAGTCTCACCTGTCTCAGCATCCCGCTGCTAGTCGCTCGTCCTACATGGCCGCCACTCGGAGAGTCGCGCGAACGAGGCGCCACCGGGCCCGCCCGGCCGCCGCGGGGGGTCCCGAAGAGTCGCGGCGACAAGAGCGACTACGGGGAACGCGAACTCGGTCGAGCGAGCGGAATGGATGTGGCGTAATAACGGCGCCCGCCGGCCGTTCATCTTCCGCGTTGACTAGCCGTTGCGTCGCGACGCCGGTCGACGGCGAATGTGCAAGCTCGATAATGGCCGCCACTAAATTAACGTACGACGTTGTTGCGTGTGTGTATGCCTGACGAGGCCGATGCGTTCATCCTCGGTTCATCCCCGCCCCCGCCTCTGCGATCGATCGATGTCGGACTGTTGTTACTTGTTGTCACGCCGTTGTTAACCGGCTCGAATCGGCGAAAGCTCGATTGCGCGTGTCGGCGATTTCCGACGAGTCGAAAAATTCGAGGCGCATCGGTCACGCAACGCCTTGAACCGCCTTGAACTTGGCGTTTGATAAATCACGCGGCGTTCATTTCACACAAGGCGACGATATATTCCTCGGAATCGATCGAAGGATCAATGTCGAACGTTCGCGCTGCGGCTTATATTCTACATCTGCTTTCAAATCCGACTTGGCCGCTCATAATGGTGGAGCGGTAATTTCAGAAACGATCGCTTTGAGGTTAATCGATTTGGATCGCGGTGGAAATGACGAATGCATCGCTCGCGTATCTGACGTCGTTTTTCACCGGGACTGTTTGAAACCTTCGACTCGCGGCTGTAAGTTACCTCGAACGAGAAATATGACGTATACGCGTATACCTTCGTACGTGCAGCGCTTTCGATCGTACGCTTTGGAGATCCAAACGTCCGTTGCTTCTGTGATAAGATTCACCGCCGGTGAATTATGGTGATTCGCGCAACGACGCGGGTCGTCCCCGCTCACCGCCTCGTTGCTTCGCGGTCGATTTCGATCAGGTGGCGCGCTCTGTCGGGCAAAGTATGTCGCTCTGAAGCAAGAATGGCGAATAATGCAGACTTTGACGATGGGGAGGTGAAAATTGCGCGAGTTCGATTAGAATTAACTGGATTGTGATTGCCGTCGAATTTCTAATCAACAACAATAAACTGTGCGTTCGCAGGAACAAAATAGCTAAAGACAGGCGAGGTTGCGAGGAACAACGGCACGCCGATCTACCAACGACCAGTTGGTGTCAACACAATTAACACAATTAATAGCAATTATATGTTTTCTGTCTACAGCTACTTATGCGTGTCAAGTTGAACACACACACACACACGCACACGCACACACAATTTCATTATCATTAAATAATAAAATTCTTTTATCAATTTTTCTTACATTCTTTTCCCTGCTCTCTGCTCTCGTGTCTGTTATTTCTTCCAGAGTCATGCGCCATTCCGATTCAAAATGCAACAAGTACAAGAAGAAGAAAGTAGATGTGTAGGCGTGTAACAATACGTTCCAATACCTCACATCAGCGATACATCAGCGACCTGCGTGATCGCGCTTCACTAGCATGACACTAGCAAGCGCAAAGCAGCGCAAGTTCGTACTTGTTGTTTCCAAACTATGTTCATTTTTACAGTCCATGTCGGATGTCTTTCATCATGCCACACACGTCAGCACAGCGCGCCCTCTGTTCTCCTTCTTCGTGTATTTGTCATGTGATGTGGAGAGTAGATCGTTTCATGTGAAAAAAAATATACTTAAATTAATCACAGGACACTCGACGTTTAACATCGCTCGCCAGGATGGTAAGTGCCGGTTTCTCCTTCGCGCCCGGTAACTGTCAAACACGCGCGTGTACCGAAGGCGCGTGATCGCGAATATGCACACGCGATCTCGCAATACCGTCATACTGATGTCATTTAACGCCAGCGGGCCTTCAGCCGCCTTTCCCATAAGTACCTTCAACGCGGAGTGCTCAGAACGCATGCTTTCCTTTTCTAGGTACTCATCGCTGCTGCGGTATGCACCAAGGCAGGAAAGAGTAAGTAATGAATTATCATCCATGTGTGTCGCCGCTGTGCGCGTGTGTATCTTTTCGACGGTACCCTCTGATTCTGTATTGGTTAATTTCACTATACGTCACATTCCACTTTGCAATCTATCTCACTCATGGAAAAATGACGCGTTACAGACAGTGTATCTCTGTTAACGACATTAGAGGCATTTGAGGGAAATATTATTCACAACTGCTTAATTAGCTCATGATTCATATCGCTGTTACAGCCATCATTTCTCGACAGTTTGTCGATATGACGAAGGCAAGAATAGAAGGCTTACTTGCTGCATTTCCAAAATTGATGAGCTCGGGTAAGCAGCATACATTTGTAGAGACTGAATCCGTCAGATATGTGTATCAGCCTCTGGAGAAAGTATACATGCTGCTCATCACCACTAAGGCCAGCAATATCTTAGAGGACTTGGAAACCTTGAGGCTTTTCGCAAGAGTAGTGAGTAGATGGTGTTTGTTTTCCTGTTCCCCAGCTATTCTGAGAAATTCCTCCGCGGTGTGTACAAAATGGCATTTGATCTTTCCAGCTGCCAGAATATTGCAACTCAATGGACGAAGTTGAAATAGCAGAGAATGCATTCAACTTGATATTTGCATTTGACGAGATCATTACATTGGGCTATAGGGAGAGCGTCAATTTGGCGTTAATCAGGACCTTTGTAGAGATGGACTCGCACGAAGAAAAGGTTTACCAAGCAGTCAGGATGACGCAAGAGCGCGAGGCTAAAAACAAAATGCGTGAGAAGGCCAAGGAATTGCAGAGACAACGAATGGAGGCTAACAAGAAGAGCGTCAAAAGTCCCGGATTTGGCGGAGGATACGGGAGCGGTGGCGTACCAGCTGCCGCGACTGTTGGTGATTCGGCAAACTTTGTCCCTGAGCCAATTAGACCTTCTTACAAGCCCAAACAGTACGACCAGTTCCAAGCTCGGTCATATAATTCTGCTCAAACGCATATTTTAGTTAACACTTGATCCCTTTCGTCAGGAAACCGTCGGTCAACGCTGGACCGGGTGCCATGAAATTGGGCGGCAAATCTCGTGACGTGGACTCCTTCGTTGATCAATTAAAGGAGGAGGGGGAAATCGTTATGCCAGGAGTGCTAGCTGCTTCTGGAGCGAAACTGGCGCCGATTACGCCGCAAATGATCATTACGGAATTGTGTGTGAAACATTTGATCTGCGCAAATAAAGACTCCGGGCTCACTCGTGGTGATGAAATAGTCAGCAAATGCATTTCTGGTCAACAGGGTTCACTTGAGGCAAGAGGAAAGACTTAATGTGCGCGTCGGTCGGGACGGAGGCTTGCAGCACTTTGAGTTGCATGGTCTGGTGACCTTACATATCTTCGACGAGAAGTGGGGACGCATTCGTGTGCAACTTGAGAACAGAGACACGAGAGGCATTCAGCTGCAAACCCATCCGAATGTAGACAAGGAATTGTTCAGAGCACGCGGGCAGATTGGCCTGAAGGTGCCCACGAAACCGTTCCCATTGAACACTGACGTCGGTGTCCTCAAGTGGCGTTTGCAGGCGCAGGATGAAACAGCATTGCCAATCTCGAGTGAGTCCACGATCGAGTCCACTTTTCTCATGTGCTCAAGTTTATAAATTTCAATTAGGATTTTTTAATCTCTTTCCGTAATAACCGAAATAACTTAATGCAGTAAATTGCTGGCCTTCCGAGAACGGAGAGGGTGGTTGCGACGTGAATATAGAGTACGAGCTGGAACAGGCCGATCTTGAGTTAAATGACGTCCAAATAAACATTCCTCTGCCTATGGGGTGCAATCCTATTGTTGGCGAATGCGATGGACAGTACGTACACGAAGCGCGGCGAAACACATTAGTCTGGTCCCTACCGTTGATCGACGCTTCGACAAAGTCTGGCTCGATGGAATTCTCAGCACCCTCTTCAAATCCTGCGGACTTTTTCCCACTTCATGTTTCTTTTTCATCTAAAACGCCGTATGCCAAAATTAAGGTATGAGCGCACGGCGCACACGAGCTGTGAAAAGTTAAACAGTGAGTGAAATGCTGAGGAAATAATAATTAAATATCGTCTTCATTCTTTCCAGGTTAGCGAGGTCTTGCTCGTAGAAGATGAGAGCCCTGTTAAGCATTCGGTAGAAACAGTGTTCTTCACTGATAATTATGAGGTCGTATAAAACACAGTGAATAAGATAGATGAAGTATTTGAGGAAGAAGAAAATAAAAATACGGAAAGAGCGGGAGAAGAGAGGGGGGGAGAGAGAGAGAGAGAGAGAGAGAAAGAGAGAGATATATATATATGTTCACTTTTGTTTTCAACAAAAGGCATGAATGTTATGATCAGTGATCGATATTGACCATCATTTAATCTCTAATTTTATTTGCCATACAATCATTCCTCTTGTATGATCAATGAAGAAGATATATTGGTACACATCGTGCGGTATATTTACGTACTGTATCGATTTATTGTTGGTATTAATTAGCTATTAATCCGGTGCCGAATACTTGTATAAGTCTGTATAAAACGAAAGAAGTATATTTTAATTTAAAAAATTTGAAACATTATGCGACTTAAATGCAAAAATTCGTAATTTCTACTTCTTATTCGATATATCTTAATATTGAGAGATAGCATATGCAAAGAATTGTATTATTACCAAATATATATATATAAAATTTTGTTATTCGTTTTGTAAGTCAATATACCTTACCTAACAAACATTTTACGCATTGTATTGCCACACATTTTCCTTTTTTTTTTTTATTGTAACATTGTTAAAAATATGTCCATGTATAAAATTTTTTTTACAATTGAATGCCGGTACACGACTATGTAACGGCGCATTTTATTTACAGTGTATAAAGAGAGAGAAATATGTGTGTGTGTATATATATATATATATATATATGTACAAATATCATTACATTTCTTCCGTCGACATACTTATAATTTGTGGTATCAAATAATTCTCAATAACTGCTTTAGCTGCAAATGAAGTGAGAGCAAGTAAAGTTAATAAAATTTGCATATAATTTCACATTTTCAAACAGCAAACAGCAAACTTACCGTTCATTGAATTATTCATTATTGCTGCTTTATAAGCAGTTATATTTGAAGAGTTACTGAGTGTTACATCTGCACCTCTTGTCAATAATTCATGGCATACATGCGGATGATCGCAATATGCTCCATATATCAATGGAGTATTGCCATCCTAAGAGAACAAAATCATCGTATGTTTCATATATTAGATTTTTGTTCAGAGACAAACATAACACACATACCTCATCACATGCATTCGAGTCAGCACCATGATTCAACAACAATTTAACAAGATCATGATGACCGTACGCAGCTGCTAAATGTAAAGTTGTTTCAGATTTTGGTCCACGGTAATTTACATCGGCTCCACACTTCAATAATTGTCTAGCACTGCCCAATTGCCCATAACCAGCCGCCCACATTAATCCTGTTAGTCCCTTCTCATCGGTTGCGTCTATCGAATCTGTAAAGTAAGGATAAAAAAAGTTATTAGCGTGACAATAATTTTATACAATGCATAGAGTCACAGCAATTTGTCTCTGTAACTCTTTATATGCATCTAGATATACGTGATTTACTTGACTGCATATGTTCAGGTGTAAGTTCTCCTTGACCAGCCAAAGTATGAAAAGTGATATCATTTCCCACATAGAGCTGAGGTATTTGGGTCTGAGTGTTGCCTCTTTGCAAATTAGTGAGCAAGGTAGGCGGCTGCAAATATACAAAAAATTGAATGATGAACAAGACACTCTGCATTGGACAAGCAAACAACTGAAACATTCCTGTTATTGTATTGTAACAAGAAACGAATGTACATAAACACCGGAGGTGAGAGAACTGAGAGAAAAACACCTTGTAAGGCTGAAACGCACTGGTCCTAGTCGCGTCTTGCCACGCTCCTGGGGCCCAATGCCATTTCGTCTCGATCGGCTCCGACTTGCAACCGATGCTCACATTCTCCGGTTTGCGAATCACAGGTTTCGGTCGTATGCCGATCGCCGAAGCGTCGGGCGTTACGCTCTTGCCGCTTTCGCTCGAGCGACGACCATCCTTCACCTCGTCCTCCTCTTCTTTCATAATCAGCTCCGAGAGAATCTGATCATCCATACCTGTCAAATGCACAGAAATCGGTGCATGCAGAACGTGCACGTCGCCTCGAGATACATCAAATTGTCTAATTTTGCGTTACAATGACCATTTCATTCATCACGCCGACGGTAAAAACGGAAACCTGCTCTTCTTGTGTCAAATTGCGTAAAACATAACATGCGTCATATTGGAGGTTAGTAATTCCCGTCCGGTATATTTGCTGACGAACAGGGATGGCTGATGTTGAAGAAAATAATTGGCTTCTAAAAAATCGTTTAAAAAATATAATAATTTTTAAAAATCGATGCAATTTCGAAATCATCAGTAATAATCGATTACTTTGAACTTTTCTTCGGCTGTAAAACTTTACCTACTAATGGTAAATACCGTTTGTCCTTATTGACGAATGAAATGAGCCCATTCTGCCGTTGAATCGAGTCACTTGGAAAAATGAGGGTTCGGCTGGTCTACAGTCGAATCATACAACTGCGCGCAGGCAACTTTAATTAGTTCCCAATTCTCCGTTACGAGTCGCCACTCCGCCCTGCCGCGACAAATCGGCAGTCGTAGTACGGCTCAACGATAAGTCAGACACCGTTACGTTCTCGATGACTCTTTACGATGAAATCGGGGGATCTTCTTTTTTGATTAATGTGTGTGTGTGTGTGTGTGTGTGTTTCAAACGACTTAACGGTTACGTATTCTTTGACATTTAAAAGTCTCTTGTTCTCGCAACAAAGGACAAGAAAAAAAAAAGTTAATACATAACACGCGTGCTACAAGGACAACACACTTACGCGTTTCAGACTCAGAGTTATTTATTAACACAGTGTGCTTACAGCATTTATTAGACTAACGAGGGAGGAATTTACTAATAATTTGGCATTGGGAAATGATCGCCTCTTAATGATTACACGTGTACACGCTTCCTCGTCAGGTCGGAAAGCAAGTCAAAATGATGCTGCGATGTGTCCATCGGGTTGTCGGCTTTCGAAGATCGCGTCGATTCAATGCAATTTCTTTCGGGTCCTTTTATAATCCCGTCGGTCGTGTCGAGTTCACTTACGCACTTCAATTGCGCGCACTAATGCGGCGAATAATGGAGATAAAATTTCTTTATTGGAGAACAGCGAAGCAAGCGAAAATGTTCGCGCGCGGTTTCTGTGACGCGCGCACGTTCGATAAAGCAACTCCTTCTCAATTCGCACAAGCAACGAATGCGTGATAAAATTTGGAGTTCTTCTAGAGTCAGTCTTCATTATTCTCGCGAGATTATCACAGAGTTCGAATTTCTCTTATTTAAACGAGCTGTTCACTTGCAGAGATTGACGCGATCTTTGTCACGCAACTTGGCATATTTGGCATTAACGCTGCGTCCAAATCGATCGTGTGTAATCGTATGTGTGTATGTATCTGTACAACCGAAATTTTTTTTAATTTTCGCGGATTAATTCCGTATCCCCTTTTCCGTACACGAAACATTGTTGTATACATTGTACCAATGAGAAAGACTAGAATTGATATCGTGGTGATTGTAGCTTGTCAATATCAAAAAATTTCGCAACAGGCACGTAAAGCGTGAAAACGTCCCTCCGATTTGTCTCTCGTGTCCATTTTCTCTGTAAACGAAACGGTATTGTCAACAAGCCACCGGAATACATTTACGCATCGTCCGCCCACAATCTCAACAATTACGTTTCTTTTTCTTCGTGTTCGTTTCTTCCTCTTCCTTTTTCGTCTCCTGTTTTTTTTTTCTTTTTTCTTTTTATTAGAGTTATAAATAGTACGGAGTACTTCAACATTCGATCGATTACAACGTTAAAAAGTGCATTAGCATTACGAGTCGTCGTTCGTATCAAGAGTCGAATTGATAACAATATTAGTAGACGTGGTAAGCACAGAGTTAAAACGTAGTCGATCATGCAATGGTGTATAAAAAGTTTTGTTAGCGCAACGTACTTATGTATCTCTAATGACGGTTGTCGATTCCACTTTCTCTCATCTCACGATCGCAAATAGACTCTCTCTCTCTCTCTCTCTCTCTCTCTCTCAAAATCTTCGCGAAATACCGACAGTTTGCGAGAATGCCTTTGATCGCGTGTAGAATTGATGCGCATGGAATGTCTTTGATCGACCGCAACGCGCGTCTATCTTGCCGATGGATCTTAAATTTAGGGTAACCCTTAATTTGACGGTACCTTGCCACGTGAAAAATTTTCAAAAAAGTCACATATACATCATCGGATCTTGCTCAGTATCCGTGTATAGTTGCCTTGTTTTGAACAACATTTCGATCGTCGCACATTGATACGTGCCACATGTGTGTGTTTTACGAGATACGACGTTAAATTGAGGGTTAATGCTGATTACAGAATTGATTGCTGATCGAAACTACGGTCGACCGAAAAAGCATCCCTCCTCCTTCTTGTGTATTACGGAAATCCTTTGGTCTCTCTCTCTCTCTCTCTCTCTCTCTCTCTCTCTCTCTCTCTCTCTCTCTCTCTCTTCCCCCTCTCTCTTCCTCTCGTGGTTAAAAACACGTGTTAAGATTCACAATACTTTAAAAAGAAAGAAATGAAGGGACAGCGCACAGAATACATGAGGGTAAAACTTAAAATAAATATATTAAACACTCTCCTCTTACATATATCGGTGCGTTGCTTTAACGGGAGATAATCGTTAAATTAATGAACGCCCTTGCTTGTTTACAGCTGGCTGATGTCGCGATCAGCGCTTTATGTACACGGATTACCGTCGGTTCGTCGTTACAATTCCACTTGCTCTTGGAAAAACTCCCGACCATTCTACGTACCTAAAGATCTCGTTAGTTCGTCTCTCGGTCGCGCGAGGTTTTATCGTGGCAGTATATAAGGCATGCGCGTTCTTCTTTGTCTCATTTGTGTGTGTGTTGTGTGTGTGTGTGTATGTGTGTGTATATGTGTGGTACGTGTGTATATATATATATATTTCTATCTTCTTTTTGGTTTTAATTTCTTGATATTCTTCTTGCGCGTTGTGTCTTCTTATAGCCTATACGCGTTTACTCTTACGACGTTTACGATCTACAATCGTCTGCCCGTAGCCGAACGAGAAACGAATTAAACGCTCGCGGATATATTCAACATGCCGGTTCTCCTTAGCGGAAATTCGAACAACTTTGAGTCAAAATTTCAACATACAATAAGCAAAACTACTTCTCGTGAGAGTGATTACCAAGTAGGTCGCTATAATGACAAACACGATTTATATGTTAAGTCTTATCTCACTGCTACATTCAAACTTCACGTTTTTTTTTTTTTCAATGATAAAAATCGTTAGACATCAACATGCACCTAACATCAATAGAGATTGCTTATCGATTCTTTTTTTCTCCCTTACGCAAACTTTCTTTTGTTACACGTGATAACTCGTTCGAGGGATATATCATTACGTCTACTATTTACAATTAAACTCGAATCCGACAATCGTGATAATACTTGCCGATAGCGATGCGCGCGGAGCCTACGGCTTCCTCAATAAAATACTCTCCGATAAAGTGTGACTTTTACACGATTCTCTCTCTCTTCAATTAGGTTTCTGCTTTACTCACTAACGCCCAACTATCAAGAGTGTAGAACTAAGCGAAGGTGTGACGATTATCCACACACACACACACACACACACACACATACACTTGTCTATCGTTCGAATCGCGGTCCGGTAAAATTATAAATACAGTATGAAAAAAATGTCCATTTCTTCTTCTTCTTCTTCTTTTTCTTCTTCTTCTTCTTCTTCTTCTTCTTCTTCTTCTTCTTCTTCTTCTTCTTCTTCTTCTTCTCAGATGAATAAATACTATACACGTTTCGAAGATGGGAGGGGACTGGGAAAGAGGAAGGGCTGAGAGAACGGGTAGGGCGAGGGAGAGGGTAAGGGGGATGAGTTAGAATTTTTCTTTCTGCTTAAATATGCCAGGTGATCTCGATTGGATCCTGCCCAATCCGATTCGCAAACTCTCGCGCCCTTAATGTGGACTCAGCTCTACATCCGCGCTCGACCGCTTTAGCTGTCGTTCGCTTTAGCGCGCTTCGTGTGTGATGTACGTATAAAATGACACTAAACTCTACTTACGTACACTAATTGAAGTTTCTCACGGCAGTCTCGCTGCTTGTGTATTATACAACGCGCGCGCTTTCCCGCCTCCTCATCTCACCTCGAGTTCGAGAGATAATCGCACGATGATACCGAACGGCGAAGAATGACGACCTACAATCTCATCAACACGAATAGATATCGGAGTGAATGATTATTGCTATTTAGAATTGTTGTCGCCGTTGCGTCGGAAAAGAAACACCGCCGCCGCCGCCTCGTCGGCGATCTCGTCGGAGAACACACAAAGCGCGCTAGAGGAGAATCGGGTATACAAAGAGGTGTCGTTAAAAGATACCTTATTTACGACTTGGAAGAGTTACATTATACTTCCGTGGTGCGACTGTAAGGACCGGACTCTTCAGATTGCGATAGCTTTCGCTCTCGTTTGGCAAAGAGACCCCCTAAAAAAGACGGCTGCTGAGCCAGTCCCTTACCACCGCCAGGGATCGTAGACCCTGGATGAATAGGATGGACTTGTCCGGGGTGCTTAATGCCTTGGCTCATTGAGCTGGCAGAAGTAGATTGAAAGGAAATAGACATACCGCTATCTAGAGAACCCACGCTTCCACGGCGCTGCGGCTTTTCACCAGCAACTGGAGATACATATATATTCACATGTTAACATGAATACATATATGTTTTCTTAAGCGTACATACCAGAACTTCGTATTTGCAGATCTAACAATCACGGCGGTTTATTGTTATTCACGGCGAAGCTGAGCAAAATAACGAGACAAAAGAAGAGAAGGGGATGTCGGGACACATACGTCTCTTTATACGAGGTAGGCCATTTTAAATGCCGACGACCTAAACCCACCTTGGTAATTCTTGCAAATACGGAGCTACTGGCGCACGATTTACGTTTCGCGTTTCGTACTTACACTGCTCGTGTATGTCGAGCAAGGAATTACTGAGGGCGGAACGTTTCAATTGCGTGTCGACATCGACCGTCTCTGCTCTCTCCGAACAAGTTCCCGGACATGGGCATATCTCCACGTCCGCGACGCCAGAATCCCTATTCTCCGCGCCGCCTCGTGCGCCTCTGCTGCTCTTTTGCCTCTCCAATTCGGTCTCAATGCGCAGAGTCTCCATCTCATCCATCTCGCTGATAGACTCCCTGAGGTCTTCCACGAATTTACATCTGTCGTGCTCGTTTCGAGCGTTAAATGTGACTAGAACCTTCCCGTCGACGCGCTGAGACAGTCTTATCCCGTATGGATAATCTGCGGCACGAGAAAGAACATAACGGTCAGAGATACACACGGAGGTTGCACCGCAAACAACAGCAAACGTAAGAAGAAGGCGTTCATCAATCGCGAAAACTTACGAGGGACCTCGAACAGCGTAACTATCATACCGCAGAGCGGGAAGCTCTGCCTGAAGGTGTAAGTTACACTGTTCTTCTTCTTGCTGAGGATCTTGGTGACGACAAGCAGATCGTTGAAGAGGAAGACCTCCCTCTGATGAACGCCCGGTCTCTCTTTCTTGTGAATGTCCGGTATTTCATAGAGCCTGCAGTAGCAGACCAGTCTTCTATGCGGTAGCGCCATGTTTGGCTTCTTTCCAACGATGGTGGCCTGGACCTTCATTACTTGCGACACATGGTCGGAGCCTGGCTTGAATTCGTTATCCTTCACCCTTTCGTAAATGCCGACTAGGATGTCTCTGTCTATGTCGCCGCAATCGTCGATGCCTCGGAGATTCTTCACGAAATCCTCGAGTCTCATTCGGCGTTCGGGCTTCAGGTTCGGCGTATGCAAGTCCGTATTAAGCATGATAATGGCAAAAGCAAGGACAAAAACAGTGTCCGGCGAGCGCAGCCTCGATATCACGTCAGGATTGCACTGGCAGTAACGTTGACTGAACACCTCCATCAGCCGCTCGATCTTCTGCGCCTCGCCGGGCATCCTGAAGTAGGCTTGAAACTTTCGCAGGGCGACGTCCACCTGCATCCCGGAGAGATCCAACTCGTGCGAGAAGCATCTGCAAGTGACGAGCGAAGAGTGAGGTGATGAGGAAATTTCTCTACGTCTTTCCCAGAAAGAAACCAGTCGCGAAAACATGAACGATTAAAAATACTGAGACATAGTCGTCGAGAGCCACTCACTCGAGTACCGCCATATTGAAGGTGTTCTGCAAGTTCCCGAGGTACTCCCCGATCATTTGCTTGGACAGACCCTTTCGGCTGATCAAGAATCGCGCAACCCCCTGCGGGCTGTTCTCCAGAAATCCGCGTCTGATGAGGTAACTGATCCCTCTCTCCGGCTTCTTATTGAAGAGATTTAGGCCGACTCTGTACTGGCGCTTTCTCACCGTCTCCGAGACCTTGTAGCTGGTTTGCGGCAGACTCTCCGTATGATCCATCAGAGGAAGCTGGTAGCCGGAGCTGGCGTGCGAGTGGCCGAGCTCCTTCACGTTGCTGGCGATCGTCGTCGCGTCCGCGGCATGACTCGCACACTCCTGATGTTCCGGCGAGCTCGACTGATCCAGTCGCGATCAGAGAAGCGGTTATTCCGTAAGCGTATTTCGCTCGATCTCTGTGTTTTTGTGAAATCGCCGTTGACTCGCACGCGTGCGCGCGCGCGCGAGCAAATGCACATGAGAAGAAAGAAGAGAGAGTCAAGTGTACACTTACGATCCCCTTGTGCTTCCAGACCGGAGAGCCTCGCTGAGCGTCGCCCTCGGAGCTCTCGCAGTTGGTGGAGTCGCTGCCGGAGCTCTGCACCGAACTGAGACTGCCGTTCTCCACGCTCTTGCTGAGACCATTGTGACGCGGCTCCATGGATCTCGACGTGATGGAGGACGTTCTCTTCGGCACTTCCGGCGGGATCTTCTTGCCGGAACCTCTTGTTCTACCTGGACCCAGCTGGCTGGCATTGTTCCAGTTCTGTGATATCGTCGTCTGCAGATTATGCGGCGTCGACGGCGAGGTGCACGGCGTCCGCAGCAGGTCCCTCGGCGGTGTCTCTTGTCTCAGGCCGCACAGGGCCTCCTGAACACACACACGCAAGCGATATCTCTCTCTCTCTCTCTCTCTCTCTCTCTCTCTCTCTCTCTCTCTCGAGTCGAAATTATAATCAAAAGAGACCGCTAACGGAAAATAATGATTGCTCGCATCCGCGGGGCGCGACTCGGGAGGCAACGGGAATCCAATAACCGAGCGCTCTCGGGAGTGTCTCATCGCCGTTTAATGTCATTATCGCTTATCGGCACTCACCTGTGGATTGTAGTAATGGATACTGGAGCCGCTCTCCTGGGAGCTCGATTCCCAGCAGGGACTCGGCGGTAATTGCTGGTGTCTGTTGCACGGGCTAGGCGCCAACGAAGGCGTATGTCTGCCGCCGCCACTCTGATGCAGGCTGTGATTCGCCGGATGCTGATGATGACCACCGCCGCCGCCGCCGCCGCTCACTTGAATCTCGCATCTGCCGCTCTGGCTTCTCGGTATCGGCGACTGGGAACTGTCCACGTGCCGCCTCTCTCTCAGAGACATGCTTCGGATCGGCATCGGTCTATTAGATTCGCATCGAGTTTTAGCGCGAAGGGCTTGCGCGCGACGCGTGTCACACGCACGGGGGGGGGGGGGGTAGCTATTGACGGAGAGCTGTGATGTTTCTTTTCTTTTTTTACCTGTTGGCGGATTGCGGCTGCTGTATGTATATCTGGTGGCTGTGGTAGACCATTCGCTCGTGATCGTTGAGGTTGCCGGAGCGCTCCGTCGCCTCCTGAAGCTTCCTGCTCAGTCGCTTCTCCGCCTTGGCCATCGCCGTAATCGCCGCGAACTTCTTCAACAAGGTATACCTCCGGAAGGCACGCTGGATCGTCAACGCCGCGTTCCTCGCCTTCACGCCGCCGTACTTCCGCTCCAGCATCTCGATCTGCTTGTCGAGCAGATCCTGCGACAATTCGTACCTGCCGCGACACAACAAGCTGATCAGAGTTCAGTCGCCGCCGCCGCCGCCGCCGTCTCCCCCAATCCCCTCCTGCCCTCTCACCCCTCGGGCGCGCTTGGTTTTCCAGTGGCGGAAAGTGCGATTCCGCTGCTTTCGACTCCGCGGCTGTCTCCGATTACTGCTACTACTACTACTACCACTTACGCGGTCTGCAGCCGGCATCTCTTCAACACGTCGCCGTTGCGGACCGATCCCTTCTTCAGGTGATTCTGCTGATAACCGGTGGCCGACTGCGGTTGCCCGCCGTAGCCCTGCACCATGGTGCCGTAGCTCTGCGGCTGCGAGTAGGCCGTGCTGTGCGGATAGACCTGCACGCTCGCGCTGGGGTACGGCCCGTGCGACGCGTAGCTCTGACCCTGCATGTAGGACTGGCCGGTGATGTAGGACGTCGACAGGGAGGTTTGACTGCCGGAAGAGTACGCGCCGTGCTGCATACTGTTGCCATGGCCGTGTTGGCTCGCGGTCGTGCTGTGCGACGCCATCGGTCTCTCCACCTTCGGCGGGAAGCTACGCAGAGGATCACGAGGAGAAATTGGGCTCAGTTCTTTCAAGGACTGCGAGAAGTCGCTCAAAAATCGATCGACGAAGAAAGGAAACGAACGCGTATGTCCGCGAGGCCGGCAAGTGAGGCGAAAAAAATTGTGCACAACGGGTGCAACAACGAAAGCCAGACTGGATGGGCTGATCTAATGAGAGTGCGCTGATGATACATTGCGGGTTGACGCACACTGTGGGTTCTTGGAACAGTTGTTTTCGGGTGCGCTCGCACTACAGTCGTGGACGGCCGGGTCGATTTTTCGTCGGCGAGTCTCGAGGACGCGCGCGCGTCCACAGCAGGAGGAGGATTTTCTTTCTTTTTCTCATCAACGGGACAATTCTCCCATCGGAGGCAAGACCTTTCTGTCCACGACCGCGTACGCGGGTGCGCGCGGATCAATTACAAATCGGTACGTTTCTCGGCTTTCGTCTCAAGTGACAAGTCGCCGCGCGCGGCATCTCAGTTTCCACACTCGGCTGCTTATCGCCGAGTGAGGTGTGCGCGCTTCACTCGTATTCTGGATGCTTGGGATTTGTACGTGCGATCACACATCACACGACAGATTACACACATATTGTACAATGTATAATTTCTTCAAGATAATACACCGGGATACAACGGTTTTATCGGCAGCAGTGAATCGCGCGCGCGCGCGCGCGCGCGGATCCGGGACAATGAAATCGAGCAAAGTTACGGCAGTTGCAGTAGCGCGCGAGGCGGCAAAGTCGACGGGGACCGTAAGCAGGTAATTGAAATCGGACGACGGCGTGACGTTCCGTTCACGGCGACGGTCGACTTCGCGCCAGGTGTCACTAATTATATCGAACAGACGCGCGTCGGGTGACGGGCGTCCGCGAACGCGCGCAGCCGACGCGCGGCACGCGGAGGCGAGTAAGTAAGGACGCACCCCCTGAAATGGGAAACGCAAACGATCATGTTGCTGGCGTCGAGTCGTTGACGGCGACGCGGGCGATTTTCCACGTGTATCAGATTGCCGCGATCTATCTTCGTCTATGATGCCAGTGCTCGCGGCGCGGCTCCGCCGCTCGCTCTCTCCCTCCTCTCTCGCGGGGCACAGCGGGGCACGGGCGTCCTCGATGAGCGTTTACGCGACTCTCTCCCTCTCTCGCACGATTACGTGGAATACGTGGAATCGCGTCTTTGATGAGATCTACCGGCGGCCTACGCGCGCGGACGATTTCGAGATGCGACCGACCGACTCGAGCACCGGAGACAAACTGGAGGAGGAGAAAGAGAGCAGCTGGCTGGTATCCTCCGAGCCGGCCACCGGGACGAGAAATCCCTGAAACGAGCGAGGACGAGGGGCACGTTGCAGGGGCTCCGGATGCACAAAGGCGTGTACTATGTGCCTGTATATCCGATATATCCGACCCGTGTCTGTATCTGGCAGGTGCGCGATGGTCTCTTAACGACCACGAGACGATGACGACGACGACGACGACGACGACGAAGACGGTACTTGACCGTGACACTCAACCTTCCGGCGCATCGATGAGACTTGCGCAATACGCGTCAATTAACGCGGCTTACGTAAGGATCCGGCATATAGCCGCGGATAAGTAAATGAACGCGCGGCGGATGACAAATGTATGTACACCGGCTGAGGTAAAACGCAACACGCGTCGTCGAGAGACTGCGTTGTGTCGTCGCGGATCTCCTCCTCGAGTTCCTCGGATCTCTCGAGTATCGCCGCGATGAAGGATGCATTTCTCCGTCAGGCAATATCGATGGATGTCCGGTGATCGTGAGGGAAAGAATAACGACGTAGCGTGTAGCGTGCGTACAAAACTCAGTGATGCGGGACAAAAAATCTCGCCAACCGCGAGAATTAATGGACAATCGATGGTGTGCGTCTTGTCTTTTTATCGCGATTTTTGAATCATGCATCGCCCCCCCCCTCCCCCCCCTCCCCCCCAAGTAGCAACGGGGCGACTCTCGTTAGCAAGTGGAGAGATAAATAAAGTTCGAGACAGAGAGACGACGGCCGAGAAATCGACGGTATCGCGCGCTCTCGCGAACTCCATATTCCGCCGCGGCAATCAGTGCGTGTACCATTAAACGTTTATACGATAATGCGAATAAACGGGTACAAGTGTCTTCGCGGAACACGCTGCTACGTCCGACCCACACCTCGACGCTACAACAATGTGCCGATCGCGCCGACGACGGCACGCAGAGAAATTGCGCGCGGAAACGCACGATTCTCTTTCTTTAGCCGATTCAGCCGAGAGTCTACCATCGATCTTCCAACCGTGGCCAATCATCCTTGTCCCTGGAGAATCGGCTTGAGACTCGAAGAGGCCAAGATGAGAGCAACGTGGCGGCAGCGCGGACGCGCGCGTTTTGGGAGCAGAGGCAGGAGAGCGAAGTGTCTCGCCCCTTGGCTTAAAGGAAAATAAAGAAGCGAGGAGCGTGTGGCATTAGAGAGCTTCCCCGTGAGGAGAAACATCTGCTCCGGCGACTGCCTACGACTCGCGTGCCACGATGAGCGCGTGCTATCGGGGTCTCCTCCGCCCCGCCCCGCCCCGCCAAGCCGCGCCTGCCTGCCTGCCTGCCTGCGTCTGCCTGCCGGTACTTCGACACGCACCTGGCTTCAACTTTTTTTTTTTTCCTCGGAAAGTGTGTACCTTGAGCGGCCGAATGCGCGGTTTCTTCCTTTCTCCCTTTCGACAGTCTCTATCTGTGCCTTATCCATGGTCTCACTTTGATATGAGAGAGACAGAGAGAGAGAGAGAGAGAGAGAGAGAGAGAGAGAGAGAGAGAGAGAGAGAGAGAGAGAGAGAGAGAGAGAGAGAGAGAGAGAGAGAGAGAGAGAGAGAGAGAGATCGGAGAAATATAGATAAGCACTAGGCTGCACTTGACGCGAGCAAAGGAACTTTTGAGGTGTTTTTTTTTTCTTCTTTTCGGGGAAGAAAAGGCGTCTCCCCGGAGAATCGATGAATGAGAGCTCTGTTATGCACAGAGAAGAATGGCATTGTTATAAAAGCGATTGTTGTTCACCTTAACTGGGATATTAATCGACTAAAGTATTAAAGTAGAGCGTACTTTGGACAAATTTGACGCTTGCGAGATAAACTTGTGCGAGATAGACCCGCGAATATGCAAACTTGCGAGACAGCGCATATTTCTCCGCGCGCGGGATTATCATCGACGAGAGAGAAACAGAGAGCTCGTTGCGAGATTCGACGAGGAGACACTACGCAGACACCGATCCCAAAAGAAACACGGGAGAGGGGCACGCCGATAAACGTCTGAGAGAGATAAAAATATATAGATCTACGAATATATAAAATTTATGAATATTCCAAGCAGATGATATTAACTTGAATGAACAGCACGTGCTTCTCCGTACGCGGGAAAGAGAGAGAGAGAGAGAGAGAGAGAGAGAGAGAGAGAGAGAGCTCTGCGTTACGACAGATTCGACAAGGAGAAACTGTGCAGATATCAAACCCGAAGGAAGCAGGTAAGCAGGGGGGGAGATGCCGATACATCCTCTTCCAAAGAATATACATCTGATAAAAAAAGTAGCGCGATATATCTCACGAGTGATATCATCAGCTGGATAGACCGTCTCTCTCGCGGTCCCACCGATTAGAATTATCTCGTTTTTATTACCCAGCGCGATAAAAACTACAACCTGTTGTGTCCCCGTGTTCTCGGAAGCGGATCGCCGCCGTCGTTGATGGATATTCGCGAATGGAGAAGCGCAATACGCTATCGCGGCGCGCATCGCGCGTGACGACGACGACGACGACGACGACGACGACGACGCGACTCGTATCGCGCTCGCAGTCGGATTTCTCCGTTAAAAGCAACGGATACGTAGTGTCTTGTTAGCTCCTTAACGCGTAACCCAATATATCCCCGAAGTATGCGCTAATGCTCCCTGCTATGCACGCGAGGAAGCGGCGGCAGGAGGCAGGAGGCAGGAGGACGAGGACGAGGGCGCGGGACGTAAGGCGCGTTGAATCACCGCTTGTTGCAACAAGCATTCTCCTCATTCATTATCATCGGCCTAAATGCACATGATATGAGGTAATTTGCACGCTGCCGATTCCTCCTCGCCTGGCCGGCTGAGCAATTATCAGTCGTTAATGTTTTCGCGTCGCGATCAGCGAGAACGCTCTCCTTGCCGAATTAATCGAGCACGAGCAGAGCCGGCCGCCGGAGTCGCGCGTACGAGCGACGACAGTTCGATAAAAGCGCTGACACACACGCGATCAATTACGATGTGGAAATCAACTGACAGCAGACGAGGACTCTCTCTCGGAGGTGTATATTTAAGGACGTTTCTCCCTCTCTTTCTGTTCTATTTCTTCGACGCCTCGCGTACGATGCAGGTGCGTGTGAGTCTCTCTCGCTCGCTCGCACGCGCGCGCGCGCGCGCGATAATGCCATCACTCCTGTCTATTACGTCCGCCGACGTAGCTTATTCACGGGACGGCGTTACGGTATCGACGAAGCCGACGAGATAACGAACTTTACGACACGGCGAAATCGTAGAAAAAAAGCTCGCTTCGGCTAGGGCCGCGACTCCGCCGTGGAAGACACACACTTTCGGGACGCAGTCCGGAGCGCTTTGCCGCGCGACATGCAAGGGTCTCGCGCGTGTGCATTGGTCAATAGGTGTTGCGGGTGTTGCGGGTTAATAATTCTCGCGTCATCAATTGGGATGAGAGGTACGAGAAAACGTGCGGCTATGAAAATTAGGACACGGAGTGAGGAAGACGAGAGGTGAGACGTAAATCGCGATATTCGCGGGTTCGCCAAGAAGAGGAAAGAACCCTTGCCTATCATTTGTATCATCGTTTATTACACACCGAAAAGGAGTCGCGACGCCGCGAGGAGAACAGCACTTTTGCGACGAGTGTTACCACCGTCGTATCGCATCGATTGTCGCTGACGACAGCTCTTCGTGTGTATCGCCATTGATTCTAACTTTTCTCTTTCTTTCGGAACAAATGAAAGATATAACTGACGAAAATAACTGTGAGATGCAACTATGCACGCAGAAAATCCGTCATCGTAACCGTAAGGTCGTAAAAGAAAAATGATCAATCGCGCGTCGATTGTTCCTTCACCGCGAGGAGTATAATCGTGACTGTGATTGGTCAGTTTTCCTACGACTTTACGGTTACGACTGCGGATTTTCCGCCTGCGAGAGCCTAAACTCGCGGCGAGATGAACCATCTGCTCTCCTCTCCTCAGTGGCGGCACGTCGCCAGTGCGTAGATTCCCAAACCGCCGAGAACGACATCCCCGGCCCCGCGCCGCGCGGGCGCCTCTTCCAGCAACGCGAGGCTCCGCAATGAAGGCTTAACGTTAGGTTCCTTGTTAAAAGTTGCACACGCGATCGCAGCCGCGAGTGGTTTAGCAGCGCGCAACGATTCCGATATCGGCGAAGAAGTCATGGTCGGTAAGTGTGCTAACGTGTACCGTACGGAAAGCCATGTACGCGGTGTCTCGAATTCATTACGGAAATTATTAAAGCGCGCTCCATTATCGCAGGCCGCCGGCCTCGCGGCGCTGAGCGAGCCTCGCGCCGCTGGACTAATTATCATCGAGCAATTAACAACCGTTGATTGCCATTACCGGTGTGGGTGCGCGCTTGCGCGCGAGCATCGAGCGATCATCCTTCTACCTGAAATAATTTTGCTCTCTACCGGCTCTCTTGCTGCTGCCGCTGGCACACGCTCGATGTGCGCCAGTGCTCGCGCTCGCCCGCGAGGTGTGTGTGTGTGTGTGTGTGTGTGTGTGTGTTGGAGAGGAAGAGGCGAGATGATGCCGCTTTAGAGAGATTACGCTTCCTCTCCACTGCGATAATTACATTGGCGCGAATCTCGTCGAGATAGCGCCGATAGGATGCCGCTACCGCCGCTGCAGTTTCCTTTTCGTCGATAGAATTCGGATACCGCCTCCCTCCTGCGTCCTGCCTGCAATCTTGACGAAGAAACCGAGAGAAGCATCGCAGGCCCCAGCGAGAGAGAGAGAGAGAGAGAGAGAGAGAGAGAGGGGGGGATCGGTGCAGAGGAGCGTCGGGATACTCGCGAAAACGCGCATCAGGCACGCGACATGTGTTACAATTGAAGAACTCATTGTCCTAGACTCTTTCTAGTCCGAGAGGAAAGATTATAATATATTTATTTAGATTCTTTTATTCAAACGGAATAAACGATTCGATTTCATGATCGAGAAGACGGTTGAGAGAGATCCTCTTTGTACACGGAAGATGAAGCTCACAGTCACAGCAAGATGCTCGTGCAAAAGCAAGCGAGCCATCTCTTGGGATTTTGAAACAAGCTCTTCGATTATACACGCGCGCGCGCCATCGGCGTTGTCGGCAACGCGTGGGGGGGGGGGGGGGAAAGAAAGAAAAGGGAAAATTGTTGGAGAACATTCCAGCGGGATACAACGCGGCGCGCTGCGTCCGATGTAAAGCCGGTGTAAATTTGCGCGCATCGACCTGAACGTCGACGCGGGGCCGTTAGCGGTTGGTGAGATAGAAATAAAAAGTATGTACCGATTGATGAACGACGTCGGCGTGGAGTAACCCAATTGAAGACGCGACCTGACGACCTTCTCTTGAACGGTCACCATCCTCGAGCTTCGCGAACTCTGGTGCACCCTAGTGGTTCGTATCACTTGATAGCAGTGGTGTTGAGTCTGAGGCGAGCACACCGTCAGCCGGTCACTGCGTGGCTCGATCATCGTGTACACTATCATCACTGTTCATCAGCAGCGGGAAATGTTCAGCCACCACCGTTCACCGAGGCACGAATCACGCATCGTCGCGTGCACTCCGCAGCTCACGTTCGCGAGTTCCTCGAGTGACCCGCGAATGGCTCACCACCACCACCACCACCACCACCACCACCGCCGCAGCATTCTTTTCGGCTAATCGGCGCTGCCGAAGGAATCACGTTACGGGAGATACGCTCGCGGTATCCAACGGACCTAAATTCAACGAGAAACGGGGGATTCCATTACCACCTCGTGCTCACCTCCGTGAGATCTCGGAGACACCTCTCTCTCTCTCTCTCTCTCTCTCTCTCTCTCTCTCTCTCTCTCTCTCTCTCTCTCTCTCTCTCCGCCCTGCTCGCGGATAGTTTTCCCCGTTGCGATGCGTCGTCGCTATTATCGCATACGCGAGATGGAAAATCCGTGCTTATGTAATCGCGGCTGATTTGATTAATAACGGCGTATATCGAACGAGCGCCGGTGAATTTTGCATACGCTAAATAAAACCCATTCCAAATACGAGCGTATACCGAATGATCCGCCGAATTTGCTCGTCACGAGAATTCAGGTCGGCGTGCTACCGAATCGATCCTCATTAATGTAATAATCCGCCGCCGAATCTATATCTGGCTTCTCGGTGGCGCGACAGGGGAGCGACGGGGGATGCAATTTCACCTGGATTTCAGCCCCGAAGTTTCATGTCAAGTAATCGGATTAACCATTACCGAGCTACTCTCTCGGTGGTCTCTCGATCGAACAGTACCGTATATTTTCACTCGCCCGCCTTTGCCTCGACTTGATTCATGGCTAATCGTCCAAACTTTCTAACGAGACTTAATTAATATGCGTAACCGGTAAGTGTATCGCGGTGCGGTACCTGTACCTGTCTGCGATACATCTATCGCTGTCAATGATCTCTCTCCCCCCCCCTCTCTCTCTCTCTCTCTCTCCAACGAAAGTATCACGCTCGTGTGTGCAGTACGTGCGACGCATGAACGCGTTTTAAATACACAGTTGTACGCGCGCGATTCTTTCCGTCGCGACGCATGAATTTCTCGAGTTTCACTCACACACATACAGACGCGCGCGTCTGCCATTATATTCTAAAATAATAGACCAATGCATCGCGAGATATCTCGCAAGTAGAATGACATTTGAAATACGAGACACCTATATACACGGTACACGTATCAACGCTGAGAAACGTATCCAATACTGGACGTTCTTATTCGCTCTCATTCAGCTTTGGCCTTCAAACATACGAATATTCAAGTCATCAACATGGAAAAAAGATATGCATATATTATTTTAGTCTTTAGATACGGATATTAAAATGCTCGACATGGAATACATAAACAGTTAAAAACATTTCGTACTCTTGTCAAGATTATTCGTGTGTAGAAAGTTTTGTGTTAGATTTTTCACACGGTCGTGTGTTAATTTAACATATCGTTGTCGCGTTACCTAGACTTTCTTGTGTTAAATTAAGATTAACTATTTTCAAGTGCCGAAATGACATTTCCAAGATAGTAAAATAACACAATTGATATGTAAATGCATGAATTCTTGCTATGACATATTTTATATGTCGAAGTCAACATACCTAACATGTGTTACCTTTCTCGTTACAACAGTTATCATGTGTTAAATGTATAATGTTAACATTTCTGATATGTAAAGATTGAATTTCTAACACATAGATCATGTCAGTCTAACATTTTCATTTCACCAAATCACAGATCATTACTTTTCCCAAACGTTGAAGTAACATTCATTGTATGTCAACTTGACGCAAACTGTGATTCTTGACGGTATTCAAATGTTAAATTTTTGTGTTAATTTCTTACATATCACATGTGTTACATCTTAACATATTTGCTGCATGTTTTGAATTAACACATAAATGAGACTGGATGATTTGAGACGCATGAAATATGTTCAATTTAACACATCATTTCTTACAGTGCACATATATGTGTTTCACGTGTGTTGATACGTTAAATATTAATATTCACAGACCAAAAGAATAAGAATATTAGGAATTCCAGAATTAGGTACGCGGCCCGCCCCTCCCCCCCCCCTCATATATCGGTACTTGTGCGACAACGGAATTCACCGATCGTCACGTCATCGATAATCGCGAAATTAGTAGCAAGCGCTCTTTGCACGGGGCGAGAGGAAGAATTTGCGAAATCACGTCGGAATGTGAGCGAATCGGCACTTCCAGCCGAAGATTAACGTTTGCAATTAGTTTACGGTCGGCGGGCGATGTGCAGTAACGCGCGCGCGCGCACACACATATCGGCGAATACCGTTCGCTCGTCTCCGGCCGCGTCGTCGTATCGGGGACGCACGTACGAAAAAGTCAAAGACGACGAATAATAATGAGCGCCAGAGGATCCTTCGCGGGCGCGAAGCGGAGGCGAGCGGAGGCCGCTCGTCAACAAGCCGCGTCCTTTTAATGGAAGTATTCAGCGCGTCTGCGATAATATCGGAACTCGGTGCGGCGTGCACGTTGCACAACTCGTTAGCGCGATCCACATTGTTTTCTCCCGTCCGGCGAAAATTCGTCTCGTCGCGTCGCGGCGAGTGCGCGAGACTCGCTCTAAAGGCGCGGGTCGTTAAATCAATCCCCGAGAGGCAAACGCGACAAACACGCGTTTGATTCGCGCCTCGTCCGAGAAGTTCGAAACGCGCGAGCGAGATTCGGGATTGACGCTGAAACTACCGCGAGCGGTCGAAAGTATGATCGGCTTGTAATTCGCTGCAAAAAAAAGTTACCTCGATTTATGCGCAACGACGTCTCGTCTCTGCGCGTCTTCCAATTTATATTAGTATCTGATTAAATTTATATTTTACATTTGTGAGACGGAGACGTTGAATGAAACCGACAGAAACGAGTCGCAACACTTTGCCCTCGCGAATATATATATATATATATATATATTTTTTTTTTCCCTTCTTCTTTCTCCTTTACTTTCTTCTTCCCTTTTTCCTTCCCTTGCTTGGAAACCTCCGTCATTTCGACCGCTCCGGCAGAAATAAACGGCGCTAATCTCCGGCAGAGTTCCAGAGTCCTCAAGCGGAGAATTCGCTCAGGTGCCACGTCCCGTGGCGAGAGATCGATGACACGACAGCTGCGTTTTCCGCATACGACACGATTTAATCTCACACACAGTCGCGCGACAAAGGCACCGCGGCTACGGCCGCTCATTTTCCGCGTATGTCGGAGGGAGGAGGAGGGGGGAAGGGGCGGCGGCACATCCAACTGTCTCGACGCGAGAAACAAAAAAACGGTAAAAAGCGCACAAAGAGAGATAGAGAGAGAGAGAGAGAGAGAGAGGACACTACCTCGGCGGACCGACGCACACGTTGATTCGCGCTCGTCAACTACGCCCGTTCTGTTTGCCGTTAGCTTCGATACCATAATGGAACTGTCAAAGTCGAATGAAAGGTGGGGCAGCGGTGGCCTCCCACCGGCGATTTCAACGGCGCGCATACACATTGTTACGCTCGTCGTCCGCCGCCCCGTATTGCCGTTCGGAAATACAGGTCAATTCACGCCGGTCGCGCGCGATCACCGTATAGTCCCATGTATATATACATATCACACACACACACACACACACACACACACACACACACACGTACATCTGCGTATATTTCTGAATCTACGTTAAAACTTGCGCAGCGCAGCCGAAGGGGTCATTGCACCCGTGACGGCGGCGGATCCACTTAACGCGCGAAAGAAGCCGGATCGATTTACGGCGGCGCCGAGGAGCGATATTCAATCGACGATCTTAGACACGCGGTCGATCCGGGCTGCTCCCCCGATAATCGGCTGAAACTCCGTGGGCCGGAAAATTCGACGTTTACCATCCTCGATTCGCGGCGAATTCCGCGGACGGACTCAAAGGCCGCCGCGAGAGAAGCGGCGTCTGCGAGGAACGCGTCTCGTCGCGTTCTTTGAGATTTTGTCGCGCTCCAATTGTACCTTGCCCGACGACGAGATAACATGGAAATAAAAGCGTAAAAGAGAACGCGAGGCGAGAGAGAGAGAGAAAGAGAAACGGGGAGGGGAGAATAAATGCATCTAAAACATAGTGGGATAAGATGTGGAGCGCGCGCGCGCGCGCGATGCCTCGCGCAATATTAATTGCGCAACTTGCGCATTTATATACCTTTGACACGGTTAGATACGTCGAACCGTAAATAGAAAAATAACAGCACGCGCGCGCGCGCGCGCAACACGGGCATGTCCGTGCCGGCTGTACTTTCACGTATGTTAATGTCGCGCGATAGGGATTTCGCGTCAATAACGCCGACAGAGTTTCAAACGAGTGCGCGCACGCGCGCGCGTTCCAGTTTTAATTTTGCACGCGCGCGCGCATACGGGCTGCTGTCCTATTCTCTTTCCCTTCTCTTGTCCCTCTTTATCGCCCTGTGTTGTTGAAAAAATATAGCCCGTGCAACGGCCAGATAGGGAGTACTCGCGGCGGCGCGGCGGAACAACGGCGGGGCGCGCGAACGTGGTTTCTCTCCTCAAGGACCCTCCATCGGGACCCAACAGCTCGCGAGATTTCGCGTGTAGCTATCTAGCGCGGGGGAGAATGATGCACGGCAACGTTTACGTTCGCGGGGAAAAAAATATCGTTTCACTGGCGCGCGGCGTAGCAACTGACAAACTCGGCTCGCGAGTGCATCTTCGCTCTGCGCGCGATTTCAGGACGTGACGTCGCTCTCTCTCTCTCTCTCTCTCTCTCTCTCTCTCTGTCTCTCTCCCGAGGAAGAGTCCTCCCTTCGGCGGAGGGCGGAATCCGACAGATCGTCTCTCGACGAAATCACCACTCGCGCGGTCGTTCGATTCTCGCGCGATAACGCCGCCGCGGCGCGCCGGTCGGATTACTCGGCGGCTCGCCGAGAGACGCGAGCTCCGACTTCACACAAAGCTCCGATTTCGTCTTCTGTTCGCTCCTGTCGTCCTACTGAGTTCTCGCGCGTGCACGAACGCGAGGCGTGGGGCAGGCAGGCAGGCAGGCAGGCAGCCGGTACGTACACGAGAGTGCGGACACTCGGCGCGAGATCCTCAATTTGCCTGTGGCAAAAGTAAAAGTTAGCCGATCGGGAGAAAGTTCCGCTTCGGTCGCGAGCGGCACCGTACAGACCTAGACTCGCGCGGGGCCGAGACTGTGAGACTGGTCTAGGCGCACGAATCCGACGGTGGCAAAGGTCAAATGTGATGGCCCTCCCCGGCGGCGAGAAGGAAGCGACGATGGGAGCGAGCGAGCGAGCGCCAGCCAGCGCGAAAGCGACCGCGAGAGCGCACGAAAAGGACGCGTCGCGCGCGCGGACTTTTTGCGCGGCGCGGCGGCCGGCCAAGATCCGAAAAGTGGCACTCGCGAAAAGGACCGGGTTACTAGGCGAAACGTACGGTCTTGCGATCGCTCGCTCGCTCACTTGCGCACGCCAGCCCGGACATTAACTTCAATTTACGCCGGTCGCGCGTTCAAGTTCACTTCGCGCCGAACGCGTCACACTCTAATAAGAAGTTCGCGTCGACATACTATCGGCGCTGCGCACGTAGGATAATAAGTCGCGCGCACGCGAGCGAGAGCATGAAAGCCAGCGAGCGAGCGAGAGAGCGAGCGAAAGAGAGAGAGAGAGAGACTCCTCTCTCCTTCTCCCGTATTCCTTTTATTATCTCCGCTTTTCTCATTCCCTAATGACACTGTGCTGATGGCAGTCTCCCCCCCTCCCTTACCCGCCGGCCGATGTGCAGTGAATAGCGAGAGACCCAATACCCGATATGTACATGGAAGCCACGAGTGGATTTCTAAGCCGACGTGCAGTGTGAAATTTGCTCGATGTAGGTGAACAAAACAGTCCCACCTGGTCTGGTGCGAACGAAAAAATAAAGGGGCCCTCTTCCCCGCGCCGTTGACGATTTTTTTAAGATTGCCTCGTTTCAGCGTGTCGCCAGAGAATTGTCAAATTCTCAGAGGACGTCGGTGAAATTTGCGTACTCGAATGGAGGAGGGGGGGGTTTCTGCGCGCAAGAGAGACGGAACAATTACTTGACGTATCGTTAATTTCCAGTTTGGCCGGACGAGACCTTCGATTTATATTATCGCTTTTTCGCAACAGTGTTTCGTCGTAATCCCGATTTCTTTGCGCGTTGTTCTGACCATAATCGGCCAAATTTCACACGTCGCGTAGCGTGTCAACCAACGAGAGTTTCTCTCTTTCTTCCCCCCCCCTCTCTCTCTCTCTTGAAATTTTCGTGCGCACTCGTCGGGAAAGCTCCTCTTCTGGCTGTCGCTCCGCGCACGCGAATACGGTAGTCGGTGGGTTTTATTTTCTCGCACACGCGACGTTCTCGCTCGACTAAACCCGTGCGAAAATGTCCGGCTCCGGATAACGGTCCGTAAAACGTAGCCTAGGAAATGCATTTTTTACACAGACAGACACACACACACACACACACACACACACACACACAGACACATATATATATATATATGTGCAGTGCACATATTTGGCGAAATCTTCGTGGAGATAAATTTATCTTCGAAATCCAAGAAAACATATAGATCGGATTGCCACGGGAAAATGTGCCAAGACGCTCGAGTGGATAATAAAATGGATAGTGTACGCGCTATCGATTTCTGAGACGAGCTTTCCACGCTGTCGAAGCGTGATAAAAATGGCACTCCGAGTTGCGATAAGAGTATTTTCGATTTTAAGCTCAGCGCGTATCGCTCGACGTATATATGTATGTATATATAACCTGGTTACGTAAAATTTCAAATATTTTTACCGCCGCTGCGCGCAGAGAGCGCGATGCTCGGCGCGAGTAATATTATTTCTACTCTTCGATCGCTCCGGGACGTAAGTTCCGGCGGCCGTCCCTTACCGGCGCGGTGCGGCGGTCGCATCTTTCATATTTAAAATAAAACTGAAAGGGTACGCGCCTATATTTAGGCTCGCTAAGAAGCGGGATGGAGGAAACAAAGTGCGGCGCGAGCGCGAGCGAAACGGACGGACCTGTAATCGGGAGGAGTCGGGGGTGAC